TCGGTCCCATTTATAAGTGAGAGCATACATTGTTTGATTTTATATTCCTGAATTAATTCCCTTAGAAAAATGGTGTCCAACTGCATCCAGGTTTATTTCGTCTCTTTTGATGGCTGAGTAGTATTCATATATATATGTGTGTATGTGTGTGTGTGTGTGTGTGTGTTTGTGTGTATTCATCCCCCAATGAGGGGATAAAGTAAAGGTGATACACACACACACACTCTCACACTCATATATATATATACACACAATATATACATAGTATATATGTATGTATGTGTATACAAACACACACACATTTTTTTGTGTGTGTGTGTGTATATATATATATCACATTTTCTTTATCCACCCATTGGTTGATGGGAATCTAGGCTGGTTCCACAGTTTTGCAATTGTGAATTGTGCTGCTATAAACATGTGTGTATATGGGTTTTTTCATATAATGACTTATTTTCCTCTGGATAGATGTCCAGCGGTGGAATTGCTGGATCAAATGACAGTTCTACTTTTAGTTATTTAAGGGATATCCATATTGTTTGCCATAGTGGTTGTACTAGTTTGTATTCCCATCAGCACTCTAAATGTGTTCTCTTATTAGCACCATGCCAACATCTATTATTTTTGGATTTTTAAACTATGGACATTCGCCATTTGTATATCTTCTTTTGAAAATTATCTATTCATGTTCTTAGGTCACTTTTTGAGGGATTACTAGTTTTTCTCTTGCTGATTTGCTTAAGTACTTGGTAGATTGTGGATATTAGTCTTTTGTGGGATATGCAGTTTGTGAAGATTTTCTCTAACTCTGTGAGTTGCCTGTTTGCTTTGCTGATTATTTCTTTTGCTGTTCAGAAGCTTTTTAGTGTAATTAAGTTCCATCTATTTATCTTTGCTTTTGTTGTCTTTGCTTTTGGGTTCCTGGTCATGAAGTCTTTGCCTAAGCCAATGTCTAGAATAGTTTTTCCGATGTTATTGTCTACAATTTTTACACTTCCAGCTCTTAGATTTAATTATATGATTCATCTTGAGTTGATCTCCATACAAGGTGAGAGATGAATATCCAGTTTCATTCTTCTACATATGGCTTGTGAATTATCCCAGCACCATTTGTTGAATAGGGTGTTCTTTCCCCACCTTATGTTCTTGTTTGCTTTGTCAAAGACTAGTTGGCTCTAAGTATTTAGTTTTATTTCTGAATTCTCTGTTCTGTTTCATTGGTCTACATGCCTGTTTTTATACCAGTACCATGCTGTTTTGTTTTTACCAGTATCTACTAACTATAGGCTTGTAGTATAGTTTGAAGTAGGGTAATGTGACACCTCCAGATTTTTTTTTCTTAGTCTTGCTTTGACTATGTGGGCATCAAAGCTGAGAATCAAATCAAAACCTCCACCGCTATTGCAACATCTGCAATAATAATAATAATAAAATAAAATACTTAGAAATATACCTAACCAAGAAGGTGAAAGTTCTCCACAAAGAAGATCACAAAACTCTTCTGATATAAATCATAGATGTTGCAAACAAATGGAAACACATCCCGTGTTCATTGATGGCCTGAATAAATATTGTGAATATGACCATACTGCCAAATACAGTCTATAAATTCATTGCATTTTCCACTAAAATACCATCATCATTATTCACAGAACTAAAAAAAAAAAAAAAAAAAAAATTCTAAATTTTATATGTGTTCTATTCTCATTTTTGACCTTTACTGACAAATGTAAGTTCTTATTTTTTGGTTGTTATAATATAGGAATTTTATTATAAAGGGATTAAGTGTATTGTTACTCTTGCTAAACTTACATGCACATATACATGTCTATTTATTTTAAAATGAGACACTGCATCACTTAGTTACCTAATAGATATGTGGTGAAATTCAATGTGTTTATTGATGACAGTTTGAAATAATAATTATTATTCCACATACTATACTTCAAATAATCATGTCAAATTTTTCTCTTTTTCCAAGGGTCTTTAGATCCATTTCCTCTCCAAATATAAAATAGAAACACGAAATCCTTTAGCATGACAAAAGTGTGCAAAGTATACAATGACTTTACAAATGTTGTGCAAAACGGCTAAATCAAGCCATAAACCTTCTTTAATGTACACATCAGGGAAACACTTTATGATAAATGTGGTCCAGATGGACAGAAACCTAGTTGTCTTTGTTGGTAAGAATCATTACTATTTACTAATTATCACACAAGTGTTCTCCAGCCTAGGGAATGATTTAAATATAAATTTGTATATATATACACACACACATATATATATATCTCACTACATAGGTATATATTTTATGTATGTTTATATAAATCATGACTACACACACACACACACAGTATAACATTGATACTAGAGAAATTATAAGAAGAGTTTGTAACAGAATATTTCATACAAATCATCCAGGAACTGATACATATACAAAGAAACACAGAACTAATACAGTGCCAAAGGTTAATAATGTTGTTTTATCATGCTTATAAACCTGTGTTTATTTACATTAAACTTATCCTACA